TCTCTCTCTCTCTCTCTCTCTCTCTCTCTCTCTCTCTCTCTCTCTCTCTCTCCACCCCCCCTCTCTCTCTCACACACACACACCTGCCCCACTAGCTCAGCCCTTCCTATGTATTTGCCCAAGAGAAAAACACAGGTGTCTGGACAAAGCCTTGCCTGGATGTATCCATAGTAAATCTAAATGCGGTAGCTAGGAACTGTCCATAGCTCCAGTTCCTCCAAGTGTTCACAGGCAGATACTTGGTGACAGAAACAACGTCATGTGGGGCAGTGCACAGCACCGAGGGAAGTACAGGTACACAACCACCATGCAGAGGCGACATCAACAGATCTCAGAGAGTGTGGAAGGACGTCTAAGAAGAGTCATGTGTTTAGAGAAAGTTCCAGGAAACACACACTAGCCGGCACAACACACACACACAAAGCCTACAGTGCTAGAAAACACATCAGAAGTCATGTGGTAAAGAGGAAGGAGGGCATTGCAGGGGTGCACCAAGCTGACTTTGATGGGTGCCATCATTACTTTGATTGTAACGATGGTTTCAGAGAGACAGACAGACGGAGAGACAGAGATTCTTTTCAAAAGTCTTAAATACTCTGAGGAAAATACACATCCAGGAAGATCTTTCCAGAAAGCAGCACTTACCTGTGATGAGAGAGCTCTCAGAGCCCGGACAGCTTCCTAAATACTGGTAGTCCGTGAAACTAAAGCTTCCAGAACTCTCTTCCCCAAGGGACTGAGCAATCTCTTGGATGTTTCCCATTTCTTGTAAGAATTCTTCTGATAAGGGACTCTCCAGGTCATCCGTCTCGAGTGGAGAGAGGGGACAGATGGGGCTCTCTGTGTCCACCATGTCGACTGGAAGTGGCCAGGCAGGCCACGGAGCGCCGATCTGTGGGACAAAAATAATCAGAAGAGCGTTCCTTTTCTGTTCTGAAATGAACACCACTTATCCTTGAAGGGCTGTCTAAGTTCAAATCTCAGCAGTGACAGCATTGACTTTCCACCTTGACACTTGAAATCTCAGTGATGCATTCTCTGAATGGGGTCTGGAAAGACGGCTCAGCAATTGAGAGCACTTGTTGCTTTTGCAGAGGATCTGGGTTCGATTTCCAGCACCCACATGGCAGCTCACAATCATCTGTAACTGTGGTTCCAGGGAACTCTGAACTTTATGGGCAACAGGCAACATGTTTGGTGCACATGTATAGACCCAGTATTTTAAAATCTCCAAACAACAAATGTAGAAAGAGTGAAACTGTACGCAAAGGGCAACCCTTCATTGCTTACTGACTGTTCACTACACATGAGCTCGACTTTCCAGCCATGGACAAAAAGACAATTCCTGTCCCCTAAAACATGCCTTCCAATGGGGACACAGGTAGGGGCCAAATGAATGGGATGTTTGGTGGGGGTGAGAGACATGAGCAAGAACAGGTGAAGCACAGATGCCTCATACCCGGAAGCCCCAGAAGGATGGGCTGTTCTGGAGAAGAATGTTCCAGTACAAAGAACACCAAGTGCTGGCACATGCCAGCACATTCTAGGATCAGCAGGGAGGCCACTGGGCTTGGTTAAGGGGCACCAGGAGGGAAGGTTGGAGCAGCCAGCAAGAGTGTTGTGTGTTATTCACTCTTGGGTGTTCTGTACACGTGAAGGTCAGTCTATTGTAGATAGTATTAGAAAAATTATACAGTACCAAGGGCTTTGTGGAGTTTTAAAAATATCTAAAGTAGGTTAAGTCCCAGGCAACTCCAAACTCCACTTACCTGCAAGCAAAAAACAGTGCCCCCATGATAAGTACACTCTCCATAATCTTAAATGACTTCCTGTGATCTCCAGGTCAAGGTTCAATTCCTTAGTGCGTCAGTCCAGCCCATGGAAATATTGCACACTAGGCCTCTTTGCTTTGCTATTTCACCTCGGCAGCTTTGCTGGGACTGCCTACTGCTGCCTTCAGTAGGCCCGACTTCCAGCCCACCTAAGCCCGACAGGGTCACCAAGCACCCAGCCAGACTGACTAGACGACATTCAGCTTCCTGACCTGTTTTTCCATCTAGAAGTAGTCCCAGAGAAAGCCTCACAGAGAACACCACAGCTCACGTCGCAGAGAAGGCCAGAGTTGCTGCGGACTAGCAAGGCTGTGGGCTCCAAATGAAGCAGCTCCTGCCGTGCTGTGACCACAGAGGGCCCGTGTCTTCTGAAGAGCACTTCCAATTCCCAGCACTGAATGAACACACGTGCACTGGCAGCTCCACATTCTCCCACTTGCCAAATGTCAACAAACTTCTCAAGCGCAAAGAGAAAGGGGTGTTTGGGCTTCCTCAAGGAATGAAAAATGGGTACAATAATATATTTTTGTGAAAATTCACATCTCAGACTTAGAGCCCTGACAAGTTATCACAGGTAATCATTATAGACAGGGGGAAACAGTGAAGAATCATCATCAGGGGCTGGGGAGATGGCTCAGCTGGTAAAGTGTTTGCTGTCAGGGTTGAGGCTCTGGGTTCACTCCCCATCACTGACAGACAAAGCCAGGCATGGCAGTGTGCACCTACAGTCCCAGGACTGAATAGGCAGAAGCAGGAGGATTCCTGGGGCTCTCTGGCCCACTAATCAAAAAGCTGCATCCAAGTTCAATGAGACTGTCTCAAAAGACAAGGTGGAGAACAATGTCAGGAAGACAACTAATGCTGGCCTACACCTACACACACACACCACACAGACACACACCAACCAAACACACTCCATACACACATACCACACCCACTCCACATATACAGCACACACACATATACATCAACCCCACATACACACATCACAACACACCATACACACCACACACACAGACACACCACACACTCCATACACATACCACACATACACCATACACACCACATACACAGACACACACCACACACACAGACACACACACCATACACACACACCACACATCACACACACACACACACACCACACATACCACACACACACCCCCACACACACCCCACACACACACCACACACACACCACACACACACACCACACACACATACACACACACACTGCATACCACACACACCACACACACAGACACATACACATAATCTTAACCTTTGTAGGCTAAGGATGGTTTCCTGTTTTCTGTTCATGTATGCTTTGCCACAAATCGGTGCCTACTTTTTTTTGGGAGCAGCGGTGCTGGGGACGGAATCCAGGGCCTCCTGCATGCTCAGCACAGCCCACCACTGAGCTACACCCCAGCCTGTCGACACACTTTATTTTGTATTATATTAAAAGGAGTAATTCTCCAATTGGCAAACCAGATAGAGGAATGATAAGCATTACATAAGTTATTTTTCATCATGAACAAAATGTTCAAAAGCCACAATCATAAGGTCAGACATAAAGTTCATCCCCATGAAAAGGGCAGAACAGGGCAAAGTCTGTACTAAGGAAGGGCTGTGTCCTCTCCTTTTGCTGTCCCTGTCACTGACGGCAGCCTTTATTCCCACACACCAGGAGCACTGGGCTAAGACCATGAGCTGGTTTCCTTGTCATGACCTTCAGGGAGCGCCAGTGTTTGGGAATCGTGTGATTTGACTCCTTGGTTGCTTTTAAAGAGTAACTGGATTTATCTAGAGAAACGCTGGTCTTTCCTTTCATGAGATAGCTGGGATAATACCTCTTCATGAGTGGGGCAATCCTGATGTGAACTCTGGCCGCTGGGCCTGGCACCACATAGAACACATAGGTCCTTCTTGATTCCAAGCAGGGCAGATAAAAGCCTTTCTTTTTCAGTGAGTCCCACAGATAGATAACAGAGGTCATATGGGTACACCCCAACATGCTCAGCCTGAGGTTCCCAGCATACACTGGCATCCTCGCTTACTCTGATTAGGAGCAAAAACATCCAGGCAGTCCTACCACTGTGTCCAACACCCACAGTTTATTGCCATTGACGGTTCACTAAGAAGAGCAGCCAGGGCAGCCAGTGGCTGTGCCCTGTGCTCCAGATGTCCCAGAAGGATAGAAGAATGAGAAACAGTTCCCTATCTCAGCAGTAACCACATGGCTCAGGACCTTTTATTTTTTTGGCGGGTGTATATGTGTGTGTGTGTGTGTGTGTGTGTGGTTAATAATTGAATTAAGTAACAAAAATATTCCATTGGGAATTAGGAAGTTAACTATCTGAAAACTCTAGAACATTCAATAAAAAGGAAACAAAAGAAACAGGTATACATTTTCATGTTAGGACAAGACAAAGCACATGAGAACTTGGGTATTATCCATTGGCAACCTTTGATGCTGAAGCATCTTGCATGTTACCACTCTAGGACATTAGATGGTTAGACTAACCCGACTTGCTAATCACACAATGAGCACTTACTGTGTGAAACCAGGTGGGGCTCAGCTCATTCACCTCTAAAGCCCACCACGCCTGGGCCCTATTTGCATAGGGTTGTGTAACTTCATACATCTGTCTCTCCTACAAGATTGTACGTCTTGATAGAGCAAGGGGTGCATTTGTCTGATTTTTGCATGCTTACGTCCAAAACAATCTCTACCATGGAGCAGGTGTTGAAAAGCCATTTCTACCGCTCGGCCCAGAGCAAGTGATCCTGCCGTCACCTGTGCCAGGTGGGGCTCCTCTGGATGTGCAGCTGCTACGGGTGTCAGTCAGAAAGGGCACACAGCCTCCAAGGGCATCATCTGTGCAGCAGATATGGAGAACAGAAACCAAGGGCATTGTGCACTGGATATATCCCCAGCAGTTTTCAGAGTCAAGTATAACCACAGGGACTGTAATTTTATGAGAAGCAGGGGAAAACATCTCAGCAGAATAATGAACAGAGAAGTTCCCAGTCACTGAGCGAGAGCGGTGGGGAACAGGGACCAACCCCTCACTTGAAAGCAAAGGACTTGGCTAGGCTGGTTCAGCACACTCCCTGGCTTTGGGGTGAGAACTAGCACCCAGCACACAATAAACACAAAGAGGCAAAGGGACGGGAGACTCGCCTGACTTTTCCCTCAGAACTGCAAAAGCTGAACTTTGGATATGTCCTGTGACAGAGTGTGCCAGGGGAGAGTCCAGAAGTTCATCTGCCTGCAAGGGAGCTGGATGTGGTGGCGCACACCTTTAATTCCACAGCTTGGAAGGTAGAGGCAGGCGGATCTCTGTGAGTTTGAGGCCAGCCTGGTCTACAGAGTGAGTTTCAGGACAGACAGGATTGCATGGTGAGACCCTGTCTACAAACAAACAAACAACACAAAAAACAAAAACAAAAAATAAAGAGTCAAACCCCCAAACCAGCAAAATGACTTTCACACAGAATCCTGGCTACTAGGAAGGCTGTGAGGCAGGAGGATTGTGAGTTCTAGGCTAACCTAGGTCACAAAGGAAGACCTTGTAACATAGGAAAAATCACTCTGGGCTTCCCAGGGGCACCTGCTGTCCCTGGCCATCATCAAACCTGTGTATTATTAACAGAGGTTTCTCAGATTGACAAGTCACTTCCTAAATATCTTCTAGAACTACTTATTAAATAGGAGGGAGCACAACACTGCCCCAGCTATGGAAACAGTTGAATCCCTTGATGAAAAAGCGAACCTGGGATACCTGTCAGGAAAGCATCCAGACACCCGCAGGCTCCCGCTTCCCCACTATGCCTTCTCCAGTGGTTCCCTAGTTTACTGTATCACAGGACACCCTCAGCTCATCGCCTCAGTGCTCTACACTACAAACCTAGAGAAACCAGTTTAACCCTTTCATTGCTCCGGGAAGCATGGTTAGGCTTAAAGGAGTGGTTGAAAGGCCAATGAGAGGGCTGGAGAGATGGCTCAGTGGTTAAGAGCATTGCCTGCTCTTCCAAAGGTACTGAGTTCAATTCC